TAACGTTATCTAAAGATATCCCAGCATGCCATCATCAAGTCTTGTTGCATAAATTCTTAATTGAAATGGAGTGAGTTTTAATCACCAATTCAAGTTTAAATTGAGTTTTCAAGTACATTTGCGATTCTGTTAAGGTTGAAAACAGAAATGAGTTTTGCAAAAGCGGTTTATTTCCAACTAGTAATGAGTTTGAGAGTTTGCAGACACAGTTGCAGATAGTTTCCAATCAAACGCCGCTACAGCAGAGTGTAATAAGTACTGAGCAGTATTTTTCTGACTATATATTGATACCTGTCAACAGTATCTTGCATTATCTTGACATATTATCATGTCCATCAATCACCCTGTGTTTTATTTGGGTAATGTTCAATCCTAACCAGTTGTAATCACAATGGTTGTTTATTTAAAGGCGCTTGACCTACAAGATAGGTGTATTTTAAGGATATATCTTTTCGTTCTTGAAATTTTTAAAATGTTCAAATCGGTAGTCTACCATGGTGTCAGAGGAAAGATATTTTCTCAAGGCTGGAGACAATTCTGATTTTACAAAATGCACAAGGTGTCTTACGAATAAGACAGGGCATGCATCATACATTGCCTTGATCTAACTAAAAAATAACATGCCTTTTAGAGAGTTCACATAGTAAATAATGTTATTTTGGTAATTTTCCAAACGTTACTAGACTAATGATAATGAAAGACTATTAGTAACGTAAATGTTTTTTTGACTTGAAATCGCCCTAATGTTAAAAACATGCCTAATTATTTTCTCCTGAATAACTCTTCAATACCTGGAGGTTAAAACAGTAGAGTACTTTTACATGTTAATTTGAGTTATTATTTCAACTTGGTTTAAAGTTATGTAAGATAATAATTTGGCAATTTGCAGCCAATGATGATGGGGAAATCAGACAGTTTCTTACGCACATGATATATGAAAGTTTAATTTCTAAACAAATTATGTTTCTTTTGTTTTTGGTAAAGTCATTAATTTTGAGTAGAAAAGTATAAATTATAGATAGTCTGCGTGCCATCTGTTGCTATTACTCTACTGACTGAGTTTTTAAAGAATTTTTGAGAGAGAGATGCACATCACTGATGAACGTAGCTCCACAAATTCTTTCTTGTTTTTTGACCAACCACATAGCAATTATCTTAAACTCATTAATCTCTGGTATAACATGGAAGATGCTTTGAGGCCCTTTTACACCAGGCCACTATAACGTGTTCTGCTTTAGATGAAGGTGAATGTGAAGGTCACTTTTAGGAGCAGTATAATGTTCTCAGAAGGGTTAATGTTGTTTATAAATGAGCCGTCCCTGCACAATCTCTCAAGAAGCGCATGCTTGTAAGCATTTTACAAAATTTTGTTCTGAGAACAGACGATTTGTGTCGACTTAGAGTAAGCCACCCCCATTTACAGCAGACTCAGCTACATAGATCTTCTGACTGATATTAGAACTCACCACAGCCTTGCTTTGGTCTCAGCAACCAAACAAACAGAGCTACTGCCCTTAGCAAATGTGCAATTTAAAATGATGTTAGATGTAGGCTATATAAGGTCAAGGATGATATGACTTGACTAACATAGTTCATCAAGGTTCACTTAAGCCCAGAAGGCAAATTAGAACCTTTGGTCTTATAACTCACCAGCAAACATCAAAGTGTTAAGTAATTAAAAAGTTAATTGGAACAAGATGAACTAAAAATTGACCAGAGGAAAAATGCTTTAGTTGCATGAATACACAAATTAATTAAGTTTAATGCTTAATCCAAACCTTAAATATCATGAGAACACTTGATGTATGTACTTGAAGAACTTGTATGCTACACATCTGACAAAGTTTGTCTATCGATTGTGTCTCCAGAAATTTAAAAAAAAACATGATTTGTGTGATTGTTAGAAGATGGCATTTTGAGTATTTCACAATATCAGACATTATGCATTGAGTGATGTCATTTGTTCATAAGACTTGATTTGATAAAAAATTTGATTATAATTGTTAAACAATCAGATTCCACTAAAATCTGGTTTTGCTGCCTTTGAACATTAAAAAAAAAAGTTCAGGTCAAGTTTTGCATCAAATTAGCCCTAGAGTGCTGAATTGGTATTTTCTGATGATCTGTAATACATATTCTGAACCCACTTGTATTACCTCTGATGTCTGCTTGACCCAAAAATATGGGGAGAAATATGAATTATATTGAACCAATGAGCGATTAACATCAGCAGACACAAGTTAGCAACCTGAAGAAATGTGCAGATCAGTTCAAACTCTATGATTATGACATAGTTACTATACGTGAAAGGCCAATACCTTATGATCCAATACCCTGTGGTGTTGACAGAATTCCAGCACCAATGAGTAGCAGACTCAAGTTAGCAACCTGAAGAAATGTGCAGATCAGTTTAATCTCCAGATTATGACATACTTACTATATGTGAAAGATCAAGTATTTAGTCAATACCTTATGATCTAATACCTGTGGTGTTGCCAGAATTCCAGATTTTCTATACGTCTGCTAGTGTTGAGTTTTAGAAATGTCACTGGTTAAAAGTACACAATCAGAAGATAAAAAGGAACTGATTCTGTTTATGAATATTTCTACATCTTGAAGATGACCTTCACACGACTTTCCTTGTGATGACATGAAATGCAAACGCAATGGGTAAAAGAAAAACATCAGATACATGAATTTGCATGAGGAGAATGACATATTTAAAGCATCCAATTTCAGTCTGTAATGACAATGAAGAGAAGTGTTAAAATGAAGTTATAATCACATTTCTCTCTACTACATGTAGCTCTTCATTTTTAGAGGAGAAAATAATACACATTGAGTCGTTAAAATGTTGTGTTTAATTCGTTATGGCAGGTTACGTAATAATTCAGCTGTTTTTAATAGGGTAATTGTGAAAAGCTGTTTTTTTTATATGTAAAATTCATTATATTAATGAAATAATTGAGATTTGATTAGAAATGGTGCTCTTTATGATTACCCCCAACCGATAAAGAGTAACTTTTCATGTTTCATCGTTAAAAAAGTTTGATATATTTGTATTGTTTATCGAAATTTGCGTTAACAGTAGTTTTACACTTAATAAAGACTAATTATAATTATGTAACAGGGCAGAATTACAATTTTACGCTGTCTTAAACATTTGGTCTGAAGCCAACTGTTAACAGATAGAAACCCTGAGTGTTTTATAATTAAATGTCTGTGTTTCTTTCTCACTTTCCGTCAAGTCATTTCTGTTAGATTTGAAGCATGCTTAATCTGGCATAAACCATCTTTTTTATAAGATTAAATTTCCGTTACTGTCAGTTCTTGGTTTCACTTGGATTAAAAACGGGTCGAAGTTAACACTGTGCTTGACAGTTCATTTGAAATATTCATTTTACCAACAACAAAAAATTATCAATTTAAATCCTGTAATATCTGATTTTTAACGTCCGTTTTGAGCGATTAAAATGCTGATGTAGTTCGATTTGGCCAATTGCTAATTAAATTGATTTAAGTGTTGCTAAATATGCAATTAGATAATTCTTGTTCATCTGCTGTGATAACTTATAAAGGAGAATATTAATTGCTTAACTTTGTAACTTTAATGGGTAATAACCACCCAGTTTATTGTGTTCATTTGCATCTGGTATAAAAGATATGAATTTGACTTGGTTACACCCTTTAGTTTTTATGTTAGAGGTAATTATTAAATGTGTCCAAATAGCCTATGTTTCATATTGAACACGGTTTTGTTGTCTAGTATGGGTATTTTAAGTGACTTTTAATGAACACGATATAGGTCTGCAATATTCCATTTATTTTTGTTGCTCCATTAAACAGAACGTGCTTCTTTACCTATATGTCCTTGGCTATGCACTGAAATCTTTATTTTGATACCATACTCATTCCCTGTGTTTTGAGATCAGAAGAAATTAAGTGAAATAAAAAGTAATCAACCATTAAGTGCTTTTAGACTATTCTTAGCCTTTCCTTCATCTTTGTATGTGTTCAGAAGGTAATTTAGCAGGTCAGAATGTGTTAAATGATTTCAGGCTTTGAATTTATTGAATCTTTGTAATGATTTGCTGGTCTTGAAAGCTTTAAGAGGATGGCGAGTATAAGAACCATGTTTCTTATTGGCATCGTTATTAATTCTGGAGGTCTCATGCCTGACAGTTGGAGACTGGTAGAACTCAAAATAATTATCGAACTTTAAAGATTTGATTTATCACAATGGCAGAAATGTCTTATGGAATGTTATGTGAAATCACAGAGACATATATTGTATAACTAGCATAAGAATAGTCTATAATCTAATAATATCACAAATGAAATGAAATAAGAGTTTTACATCCTACCATTTTCTAGTCCCGATTTTATTTTTGAGGCTTGGCATGCTGTGTATAATGAGGGAAATTTTGTGTAGACAACAGTTTGAGTCCTATCTTTTCATTTCAATCAAGGAATTTCACTTGCAAAAGCCTTTGGCACACACTTAACTACAAATTAATTCAATTAACCACATTTTAATCTTGGGATTTTTTGTGGGCTGGAAAATTAAAGTCACCTTGGATTTTGAAAAACAAGTTTACTTTACATTTAAATTTTGTTTGTTTATCTTTTTTTCAGAAAGGTGATAATATAAAGAAATTCAGGGAAGAGGTAAATATATTTGAAATTTTTTACAGGGTAATAATCAGGTAAATTATGGGTAGCAAAATAGGCACTGAAAATGTAACCAAAGCAAAAAAAGTAAATGATGTACTCAATTGATTTTGTAGAGTTTAATATTTCAAAATTTGATGTTGGCAGAAATTTTGATGTATTCAGTTTTCGAGTTCAGCTTGTAGAAGTATTGTTCATCAGAGGCATCAATCCAAAATGACATTCTACTTTTTTGTATTCATTATAAAATTTTTGAAAAAGTCGATTAGAGTTTAGATAGACTATTACAAAAATATATTGACGCTAAAATTCCATGATTTGCAGTATCAGATTCTAACCAGAGGTTTGATTATTTTCAGAGTGGTGCCAAAATCAACATATCAGATGGTTCCTGCCCAGAAAGAATTGTTACTACTACCGGCTCAACAGAAAATATCCATAAAGCTTTTACAATGATATCCAAAAAATTCGAAGAGGTAAGACTATGACCATGTCATCTATAGGGCTATTCTGAAGAATGGCAGAATTGTGAACCTACAAATTTCATGATTTTGGGACATCCTATTGTAAAGGTCTTGTGCTTTTAAGTTAAGGAGGGGAAGTAGCAATGCCTTGTTGATTCTCTGAAGCATTGATTTTGGCAATCGACATTTTGATTGTATTGATGATGTGCACACAATAGGCTCCTAAACATCAAATCAAAGCAATATTTGTCTTGCCATGTTAGCTCTTCTGTTGTGGAAACTTCTTCTCATTTGTATCACCCATTGAACTTCAAGAGCTGAAAAAGCACAGGCGATATATCTTGGTATATTAAAATACAGAAGATTCTGGAAAACTGAAATTACGAACTGTTTGATACAAGAGCTTAATTTTCAAAACAGTCAGTAGCACATTAATCTCAATTCGATCTGTTTTCTGTTGAATGTGGAACATAGCTTAAAATTTGTGGTTGATATTTCAGGATTTACAGAATACACCAACTGTGCCTAAACCTCCTGTCACGTTACGATTAGTAGTACCGGCCAGTCAGTGTGGTTCTTTAATTGGTAAAGGTGGTAGTAAAATCAAGGAAATCAGAGAGGTCAGTCCATCAATATATTTACAAAATTTTTAATCTTTGTGCAAAGACTTTGGAAGTCTGAGATTTACAGGATTTCAAGATAGTTTATACTTTCTCAAGAGCCTGAACCTTGTGTTCACTTAGGAGAGCATTAAAAAAAAACCCTTTTAACAAAAGCTCATCTCATACTGACAACACATGCTTTTGAAGACCTGCATGAACCCAAAGTGGTTCAGTGAGACAGATACTTGCTTGTTAATCTGAAGGTCCAGTGTACAATCTCATTCTCAGAATAGGTTAAGACATTATTGGTAGATTTTTGGAAATAAAACTCTTTCGGAAACTGTTTCATAAAAATTGACATAGCTTCAGATTCTTTTTTCTAAGAAAGAAAAACATCTGATATAAAACTTGAAGACTATACTCAGATATATTTTTGAGGATCTACATTCTTCTCAGGAGGATTTTACCCTTAAGTGGACAAGTATTAAACAGTAAGGTAAAAAAATGGTTAAAGCAGAAGATAGAGCAATTGAGACTCATTGTTTTTCATAACAAAGAATATTGATAAGCTAATTTGGAGGGGATCAAAAACTTTTAACTTCTTTCATTAATCCCAGTCTTATTGTCTGTTGTCCTAGGATGTTAAACTGCATTTCATTCATGAGTTATTCAAGTTGAAATTGTAGTATTTGTTTAAAAGAGGAATGCTAATTCAGATAAAATTTCTCTTGTATAGCAAATTGTTTCTGCCATGCATCTTAGAGTGGATGTTAAATGTTCCACCATCTTACCATAAATCTTGAGAAAACATGAATATAATTGTTCTGTTCTGTCATTTTTATCTTCCTAACATACATATTATCAATTTCACCAACATACCTACAACAAAAATGTCGTCTGCAAGCTAGTTTTTGTCAGCCAAGGGTGAAGGCAAGAAAAATAGGATTTAGATATTGTTTCACTCTTACGTTAGTTGTACTCTTTGAGTGTTGTTGGCGCCAAATCAATTTGACTTGCAGGATTTTTGTAAATACATTCTTGAGAAAACTCCCGCTTGTTTTACCTTCTGCTAAAATGTTAAGATGGATATTGCAGCAATCATGTAATAATTACTAGGTGTGTATCTTTACAGGCCAAAATGCTAAAAGAAAATGATTTATACATTAAATTTCAATTAGCTTACCTTCTCTGTAGAAGTAGTACTATGGATGATTTCAGTAGAAATGAGCAGCCTAATGCAGAAAACATGTCAATTCTGGTTTACCAAGGGTCAAAATTTGCCATTTTCAAAACTTTGCTTGAAGGAATCAAAATGCCAAATGTGATCCTTTTCTTTGATAGTTCTCTTTTGACTGTTGAAATTATTTATTTTCTACAGGGAGGGATTTCTCCTTAATGCTTTGCATTTCCCCCGTCTCAGTGATGCAGGTCTACGGGGCTGACCTGTAAAAAGCATCTAGTTGTTTGATGGGACCAGAAACCAAGGCCCATATGCTGCAAGTTGTGCATGTTAAAGATCCCCAAACAGTTAGAAATCAAAAAGATTCAACATTGAATGCTGTCCTACCAATATTTTCCTAATCGCACACTGGAGGGAATAGGTTTAGGATGAAGTCCAAACAGGTGCAGAAAATTAGGAGATAAAACTCCATTGCAATGCTCTGCACTTTTGAAGGCTATTTTTTTACACATTACTCTATTTTCTACATACCTTCTAACCTTTACCTACCTGTACTGAGCATTCAACAGGGACTATTATCAGGTCACTACAGACTAGAATTTAGGCAAATTTGTTCCACTCAGTCTTATTTATGATCAGTAAATGTCAAAAGTGAATGTTGAGGTAGAAACATATGCTTTGATAGACTGGTAACGGATGGAAACAGGGCCATTGTCATTATATAATAGTTTGTTTGTTATGTAGAGTAGTCTGTGATGCAAATAGCTTCCTTTTATTTGTACAGTTGCTCTCTAATCAGAAAGGTAGAAAACGACTTGTTTTCACATACAATAGATTTGACATTTGCATCAAATTTCAATTGGAAAGTAAATTTGAATTTTTATGTTGAATACAACTTCAGATATTCATGCTAAAATCTGCTTGATCTATTGTATTGCAACTATACAAACCTGGATCACAATAAAAAAAAAAATGATCTCTTTGCAATATGGAAATTTGGAAACAGAAATAAAATAGTATTTCCTATTATTGAAAAACAGCATTCAGCAAGGGAAATTTTGCCAAAACTGCAGCTTGTGCCTACTCTTTTTCAATTTCCAGCTGTAGAGGGATCTTTGACTAGCAGCTTGTAGTATTTGCTCCAATTTAAAAGGATTGTGAAAAGTTTTTTTTACACAAGTTTGTATGTGTATAGGGGACATAAGTAAAGCATCAATTTGCACGTTTCAAATTTTCAGTTTGACTTCATGGTTCTTGTAATTCCAACTATCGCCAAGGTTGTTATATATTATTAGCAGCTTTTGTGATAGTGACGTCATAAAATACTAGATTTAAGTAGAATTACAATTTTTATGAATAACAAAAGAGCAAAATCAAGTTCAAATTGTGTGTTGTATCTTGAAGCATTTATTTTATAAGTGGCACTTTCAATTTCATTATTTTACAAAATAAAAAAACAAAGAATTTGTTGCCTCTTAGAAGACTTCACTTATGATAAATTAATTGTAACTTATCACTGCATATTGATAATTCCATTTCAATTTTTAAGTGGTAATTTTCTTAATAATTTCAAACTTTGTGACTTCGTTGTTTTTTTTTTCAATTATGAATCAATTATATACTCCCTTGCTTAAGATTTTTATATTAATACATATAATATTTTTATTAAAGAATTTGTGTTGTTTTTTCAACTTATTGTGCCTCTAAAGTTAAAAGACTTCATTTCTTATATTTTAATTGTAAGTTATCACTGCATATCGTCTTTGAGATGATAATTCCATTACAAATTTTCAGTGGTAATATTTCTTAGTAATTTATTATTTTCTTTATTATGACGCAATTATGTACTCCTTTTCTGAAGATTTTGGATACTTATACCTATCATATTTTGTATCAAAAAATTTGAAATGTGTATTAATAGATAGATGAAATAATGTAAATGATAAATGAAATGAAAAATCTTGGTTTTGTCTGTGTTAAACTTCAATCAATCTTGGGTTTGGATAGTTTCATAATTAAGGTACTCTAAAAATTAAGCGTCTCTTTATTGTAGAATAATACTTATTGTTAGAGCATATTTCTGTTCATTAAGGTTCTTTCCTCATACTATAAGATTTGAACGACATTTAGAAGCGAGGAGCACATATATAACACAAGACAATAAATATGTGATACACACACTTCTTTAATACATGGGTACATAACGTTTCAACACAAGTTACACGTATCATCATCAGATATCAGATATACTAACTAAGGATAATAGGGGATTAAGGAAAGAACAAAACATAACAAGATATATGAGATCGGATAATCGGAAATTTAAACATTCATTTAGTTTGTCTCCGTTTCAAAACAAGAGTTGATAGCATGGGATGAACATATTAAAAAGAAGCATTAGTGGGGAAAACCTCAAGAAATAGTCAGACATAAGGATATATAAAGGTTTCAATAGGTGCATATACGCTCTATTATACATATAATCAAATTTTATTTGCCAAAATTAATTTCTAGAGAGATTTTGCAAGAGTTAAACTGGAAAAAGTGTCATTTAAAAATATTCAATTAATATATGTCACAGAAAATGTCCAAAAGTCATCTAGTGATAAATATCAACTAACCATGCTATTTTTTATCTCTTACAGTCTACGGGTGCTTCAATACAAGTAGCTAGTGAAATGTTACCAAATTCAACAGAAAGAGCTGTCACGTTATCTGGTACAGCTGATGCCATCACACAATGTATACGAAATATTTGTGGAATCATGTTAGAGGTAAATATCATAATTATTCATTATCATTATCACAAACACTGTAGTCAGATCACAAAAACCTGATAATAGTATCACAGATATTTTTGAGAATTTTTTGGAGAATTGAGAGTTAACTCACAAAAGCATTTGTTGTGGCATCATTGTATTTCTTATTTGCTTGGAATTAAGAATAATGACACGTAATAGCTAAACAATCATCTTGCTACTTTGGGATTGGATACCAACATCTACTTTGGGATTGTTGTCATTTCTCATGTTGATTAAACAAATTTAAATCATTTTGTTGGTTCTCGACATTTCTTGATATTTTTGAAACATGAATTTTATTGGCTCTTTTTGATTGAATTTAATGGTGATCACAAATTCACATCTAGAAAATAGTAATTGAAAATTCCATGATAATTGACATTTTCTGAAAGAGATTAGCTGAAATTTGAATTTTAATGGCCTGCTGATCGTAAAAAAAGAAATATAGAAATTTTCATAAAAAAAAGTTTGTCAGTATTGTGGTCTGAATACAGTTTTAGAATCCTGATTGGTTCATTGGTTTACGTAACAAAAATAATAAGTTTATGATTATGATAGGCTAATGTCTATGCAGGATGTTTATCGCATTTTGACCAATTAAGTCTATAATGAGGCTTATTAAAAACCATGTCTTTGGGTACAGTTAAATACATCTCTTGAAATTCGAGAAAATGATCATATATGATTGTAAGCCGTAATTGCATCACTGGATGTTTTTTATCACGAAATCACAATTATCAATATACTAAATCATTGAAAATTCAACAACCCTCTTATTGATTTTTGATCACGAATCTTAGTATTTCACAATTCTAATGACAGTTTAGTGCATTTTACTGTCAATGTCAAAAACAATCGAGAAAAACATTATATTCAAGTTGTGATTTCAATTTATTTAATATCGTTATTGATTTATCTCCCTTGGTGAAAGTGTTTGGTTAATAAATGACAAGTATCATGCAATTGTTATGCGGCAATAGTTGTGTTTCTTCTGGGAAATATTTCTCATGATTGTTTTTTATCCTAAGTGTTTGAAAGGAGTAATTCACTCAGCAGATTTAATTGGTCAAAATCGAGATAATCTGCAATATTTTTTGTTGGCGTGAAATTCATTTCTCAAAATTTTTTTAAAAGTGCTATTTCTTGTGTCCTATTTGGATTCTGTTGACACATCTGTAGTTCCTTCATCATGAAGGGTTCAACTTGCTTATCCTCATGCTCAAAAAAACAACCGTGACGATTACCAGTAACCACTTCTTTGGACACTCTTTTAGATTCTTTGCAAAAACGCATATCAAAAACTGTATTTGCTTTTGCAAGAAAATGTTGAGAGTTGAACCAAGAGTGATGGTAGCTACAGGTGGTCCATGAATTTCTAAGGATTGTCCCATGAAATTAAATAAGAGCTCAATGACAATTGATCTAAAAAGTCCAGCCCTCAAATTAGCAGGGAAATTGTGGAGGAAGGTGGAGTGAATTACAATAGGCACTGTATGACGCAGAATTCATTCTACTTGTACTTTCAGCCATCTGACCTTGGGCTCTTCTCAGCATCGCTGATCTGGCTTTTAATAGCTTCTTTCTCACCTCTTTTTTACCCTCTTAATATACCTTCTTCATTCCTTTTCTCCAGTCCCCTCCTAAGGGTGCCAATATCCCCTACCGTCCAAAACCCGTAGTCTCTCCACAAGTTATCTTCGCTGGTGGTCAAGCTTATGCGATGCAACCAGGACAAGTACCAGTACAGAATCATCATGAGGTATGGTTTTTTTTATCATTTGATTCGTGACTACAACTTGTACCTACAATGATTTGTTCTGTTTCACAATGCTGCCATTGGAAAATGTGTAATTTTGTCAACCATTTGAAGGGAGATAACTAAGTTTTTACTCAGACTACAGTTACATTATTTATCAGTTTTGTTGAGGACTTAACATTGCGTAATATGAAAAATATGTGATTGGTATTATAGTATAATATACTAAAAATATATAGGATATATCACAGCCTTTTTCTTTATTTAGATGAATAAAGTACCACATCACATGACGGCGGCCATGCCTCATGCAGTACCAATTATTCCAACAGCTCAGACAGTCTTACCAGGTGGTTGTATTTCATTAAATGGCGATTTATCGCGGCCATCGTATGGTATGTATCAAAATGGTAAGTTCAACAATTTTTTATATTACCTTTTATCTAGATGACCAAGGGAATGAAAAAGTTTCTTGTTCCGCAGAAAGATTCTAAGAAAGATTGGACTAAGGACTTAAGGATCTCTCATTTCCATTGGATATTCATATATATTTATAAAATGCCATTAAAGGAACACTACCTTACACTGAATGTGAATTTGGACTTGGAGCAATAAGAGTATATATTCAACAGACATACCTGGTGTCATGAATAAACAACAGAATCAATGTACAGTCCAATAAATCAATAAAACTTAGTAGTTATCCATAAAATGACAAGTGATTGATAGTTATGTTCATTCTAAGAGGTAGTATACCTTTGACGAAAACCTAATTGACACATTTTCAGCTATTGATTGTATTTATTGCAGGCTTAACATATCAAATTGCCAGACCAAATAACCCTGCTGCCACTGCTCCTGGAAGTATATCTATAGCTAATGGTGCACAGACACATGAAATGAATGTCCCTAATGATTTAATTGGTTGTATAATTGGTAGGGGTGGTCAGAAAATTAATGAGATTAGGTAATTTTTTTTTTAAAGGTAACTTTATTCCAGAGGCATCAATAAGGATAAGCTATTTGATATAAAATTTAAAGGAAGTTGTTTTCATCCAAGAATCAGCTTATTATCTAATGCCTTTCTATGAAGGTCTTTGGAGGCATCATCACCAGAAGTAGTAGCTGAAGTTCTAATCTGCAACATTCAAATCTTAAAGCAGCATTATGATGGTGTGTAGTAGGAGCAAACCATTAAATTACATATCCTATCTCTTTTTATGAGTCAACTATTTCTAGTAATCCATGTGAATCCAAAAAGTTTTAAATTCAGAATGCCTGGTCTTGATGGGATTGTAAGGAGGGTTTCTATCATTTTATATTGAAGCATGGTCGAAAATACAATTTGTAGCATTCTTATTTGCAAAGAACATATAGATTTTCATTTTTGACCATTCCAAATAATTGTGATCACAGTGCTAAAATATCTTCCTTTCTTCTCACAGACAATTATCAGGTGCTACAATTAAAATATCTAATGCTGAAGATGGTACTGCTGACAGAAAAGTAACTATTAGTGGCTCTCCTGAAATGATTGGTCTTGCCCAATACTTAATCCAAACCAGGTTGGTACAATCATCTTATGCCTATTATCCAGCCGCGGCCAGATAAACATATTGTTCACATAGTAATCTTTCTTTCAATGGCTACAAGCTTTTTGCAACAGTAGATGTGTATGATGTTTTTGATTGTTAGATCAAGTCAAATATATGTTTGAAAGCTGTTTATTTGGAATAATTATTGAAAGAAAAATTCAATATTCAAAAAGTAAAATGTTGGAAAATTTCGCTGGATGCATTATTGCTATGGAAGAAAATTGTACAGTTCTAGTGAAAAGTGTTGTTGTACATATCACTGACAAGTGTTGTACTATAATCTGAAAAGTGTTGTACAATTCATTGAAAAGTGTTGTACTATTCTCTGAAAAGTGTTGTACAATTCACTGAAAAGTGTTTTGCAAGTGATGTACCATACCATGTACCAAAGTTTACAAAGATGATAAGTTTTACTGTAATTATATATTTACTTAAATCTACAGCTTTCAAACATATTCAAGTTTTGTTTTAGAATAGTCAAATACTATGAAATGACTTGTACTGAGAATATGTCAGTCCATTTTCGAGATCTGTATCATTTTGGTTTTATTAAATGGACTGAGAAAATTAATTATGTGTTTTCACAACATTTTTTGAAAATAAGTTAAGGAAGAATATCAAGTCATTTCATAGTTTGTTATGTGTTCATATGCACCAAGGCACTATTTGAACACATTTTTTTTTGAGTTACGTTTATTTAGAAATTAATGATTGTTGTGTGAAATTTAGTCAAAAATTTTCGTTGGGTAGGACGAGAAACATTGTGAATAATCATTTATTTATGTCTTTGTATTTATTATTATTTATTTTTATTAATTTATTAATTAAGGGTGATGTACTTGTAGTAATTAGGCACTAGCAAAAAAAGGTAGATTTTTGACATTTTTGGAAAAAATTGTTTTTGGGGCAATATTTACACAAATATTTTATAACTATATTTATTTTTTATTTATATTTTGGTAATAATATTTATATATATATATATTAATATGAATCTTGATATGAATCTCTCAAAATCAAAATAACTTTTCATGAGAATGATCAAAACATTTTGATATTATGTACATATTATGTAAACTTGAATTAAATCCGAAAAGTAGAAAAAAGACTTAAAAATTCCAAAAATGCTCAAAACGTGTGCAATGTTGTGAATATGTTCAGGTTTCATAATAAACGAAAACTTGGGTATATTATAAAATGTAGAAGTAGTACATTCAGTCTTTAATGAGATATGAAAATTGTTAACTTAAAGGCACAAATTCCTCTAGATCTTGACTTTTCCAGCAGATAGAGTTCAATTTCAGCTATCAGTATCATGTGCCTGAGGACGACGAGGGAAACAAGTCGAAACGTTGCATAAAACTTTAACCAGTGATTGTTGTTCCATAAAGCTGTGTCTATATATATCAGTATCATGTTTCAGAATGAAAATCTGGCATCCAGTTTGCCTGCAATGAAAGGAAGTTGTTTTCATGTATACTGAATGAGTGAAAGTACTATTTCTACACTTGTTATTGTATATTTTTCTGTTAATATTTATTTGAATTGGTGAGATGGCAAACTTTTTGTTATGGAAATGGAAATACAGGGAAAGGGCTAAAGCAATATTGTATTATTTCAAATGAGTCTCAATTCATAATTATTATAATATCATCTTCAGAATGGTCAAAGTATGAAACTAAAGAGCTGATTCAACTATATTCGGCTGCACTTGTGTGTTGTGGTACTGCAGATATACTAAACAGATTCAGTACATTTTTGTGAAGAGAAATTTTGCTTCATTTCATATTTGAAAATTACTAAAACACCGATCAAATTTTGTGCTTTCAAGATTTATATGCATATAAATGCATTAATAAGCTCTAAATTTTATAGATTTAATAATCTATATCATCTTAATGTCTTAATATATTATAGATACTACACAATCATTTATATAATTTATAGATGCTACTTGTATAATTTATATAAATTGTAGATGTATGATTTATATAAGTTATAAATGTTATGTGTATAATTTATATATGTTATAGATGCTTTGTGTATGATTTATATAAGTTATAGATGATTTATATAACTTATAGAAGCTACATGCATAATTTATATACAGTTAGAGCAAAACTCACTGTAAATCTGTATGACTTGCAGATGCTACATATATAAGTTATATGAATGCAACGATTTGATAAAAGCAAAATTTCTCTTACAATAGTATTGCCATTCTCAACAGTTCAATATTGTATTGAATATTTTTGTTGTTGTTAAGCACATTTAATGCATTGGTATTCTTGAAATAACAATAATGACTGACAAAATTATAATGTTGATGGATATTCATTTGATATTTCATAATTATTACTAAATTGAAAAATTTCAGGTGCTATAAATATTACTTAGATCATAATAATAAGTAAGATTTTACTTAAAAGATCTAAGCACTTAATGCTCACTGCCAGTCAAACTGCCATGTGGTTGAGAAATTCTTAATAAATAAGCTTCTACTTTATAAAAAATTTAGCCAATGCTTAAAAAGTGGATTAGGTTTTAATTCTCAACTGAACCATAAAACATTTTCACTATTGTTATTTCAAACCAAAATGTGTGCATGAAAGTAGTCAGGAATTATCAATTTAGTCATTATTTTGCTATTAGCAAGGCTGGGATTTGAACAGTGACTTATAGAGCATGATTAAACATGGATTTCTGTGCTGCTATTCTCAATTAAAAAATGTAAGAATATTTTTTGTCAGTTTTTGTGCGAATGAGTGAATGAATGTATGTTTTTTGAAGTCATCCAAAGGAAGAGTAAGTATACCCGATGAACTTGAAAATAATTATATGACCTCCAAAATGCAGAAAGCTTTTCCTCCAAGAGTAAGTTACCTTTTTCAGAATTTCAGGCTAATTGGAATCGTATTTTTTGGAAACATCCAACTTTAAAATGATTTGAAAAAGCACTTTGGTGGATGTTACTAGTGTTATGGCTGGTTTGTCAGCTTGACATCCCTTTCAGAGAGTCCACACTTTTGTGGTGATTTATTTTAAAGTGCTTTTATGTGAGAAAATTAGATTGAAATTCTTGAAAAGGGACTGAAGCCAAAATCAATGTGCCCTACCACTATGTGAACAATTTTTATGCTAGGAAGAAAAAAAATATGTCCTGTATGTTATTCCTAATTTATTTTTACTTATCCTATTTTATATGATTTTGTTTGGTGACAGTATTATATATCTATATATAAATAAATATTATTATCCATGCTATGTACTAACATATCCTTTTGTGGCCACTTTTTGCACACATTTTTGTCACAATTTTAATTGATAAATATAAAACGAAAAAATGTTAAAATTTTTGGGGAATTTTTTAAATCCATATTAAATTCAGATTTTAAAAATGTTTATATTTATCAATTACATATTTGAAGTCTTTCAAAAATCAAATTAATTTAAGATTTTAATTTTGAAAATAAATGAACTATTTTGGAAGGCTTCATCCTATTTTTATTGGTTAAGTTCAAACTAACACATCTCTTTAAAACATAACATTTTTATCAGTTAAATCCCTTTTTCTTTATTAATTTACAATTTTATTGAAAATTTTGACGTCATTAACAAATTTACATGAAGTTCTAACCCTTAGACCAAATTTAGAAAATTAAAACCATGAGTATTTTTGCGTGAAATCAGAATTTCAGAAGACTTCTGGTTTTCTAGACAATGTTATGTTTTTAAGAGGTGGTTGTTTTTTGGCCATGTTATATTGTTCTTGTAGTGGACTGTGGATTGTGTTTCTTGTCTAATACTTTTCCCCTCCTTTTTTTTCTCTTCAGCATGGAAATGCATAAGAATATGACCCTTGTTGACCCGACCTCGAAGAATATGACCCCTGATTTAGCCTCGATAGCCTCGACCCCAACAACCACTTCCTTGACCTCTGTTCAGTCCCATCCTTTGGCCATTCCACTGAGTCAGCTGATGAAGCCAATGCCGCTTCTAGGATTGAATATGGGAATGTACAATCCTGGTCTTGTAGCAGATGCCAAAAATTTCACCGCCAAAATGAGGGTAGGGGTAGCAGCGAACTCACTGAAGAAGCCTGAAAGACCTAAATTTGCACCCTACTAACAACAGCTTTCAACACAGCCTGTTATTTTCTGACCGTACTTTCAATTAACAGTTTGTATTTTAACAAGGCTGTATATACTACTGGTTATAAGATGGGACCGCAAGCCAAAATATTTGTTTTATATACTTATTATATATATACAGAGACTGTTGGATAATTCTGTGAATATTTTGGATTTTAACCATAAAAAAAATTTGTGAAGGAACTAATTATGTGGAGAAATTACAGATTTTGTAGTGAAATGTCTGCCAAAAAAAAAATATTTACAAATGTTACCATATCTTTAATTGGTACTTTCATTAGTTTTAGTAGAATATTTATTTTTAAAATTTTAGAATTTAAATCTAGATAATATTTTAATCTTTTTAGGTATTTAAGATATTTAACTATATAAAAAAAAAATCATGTACATAGGTAAAAGTATTTTTAAAGAAATATAATTTTTTTGTTTATTACTATTTTTTTTTTGGTTGCCATAATAACTAAGCCTGAGAAGTGTATGTAAATTATGTTATATAACCAACAGGCAAAAGTACTTACCTCATTACAGCACTTCTTCATAATTTGTATGCGTATTAGAAAGTAAATGGGGAGTCGTTCTATAGCTAGTAATGTGTTTTGTCGACATTCCAAGTTTAGACTTGAAGTACCAACAGGGTATAGGGTGTCCTACATATACATTTTTGTATAAATTAGATTTCAAACAAATGGCAAATTGTAGAAAATATAGGGTTACATGAGAGATAATGGTTTAAATGCTTAATAATGTTATCACAATTGATAATAATGTTATCAAAATTGATGGTAATGATATCAAAATTAAGGTAATGTTATCAAAATTGATGATAATGTTATCAAAATTGATGATAATGTTATCAGAATTAATG